CGTTCAACAATAGAATCAGGAATAACGCATTTCAAACTGTAACAGAATTACAATATGGGACTAGTTTATGATCTGAAATTCTTGAACACAATGATGAACCCAAAAGCTTAAATGAAGGATGAGGTGCTGCTCCGTGAGTTTATGTTAAGCTTCATTGGAATACAGCAGCAGTCCAAGAACAGAAATCTAAGTGTGAGAGGAAATGGTGAATTAACATCAAGCAAATGGATACTTGGAGTCATGCTTGTGGATCGAGTGTCTTCAATCTCAGCTGAGGGGATTTTCCAGATATTCAGCTGGTAATGCAATGTTAATTCAGAAAGCAGAAGTGTTTACCAAAAATCCAATGTTATTGAAGCATTCCTTGACTGATGGTAAAACAATTAAAAAGCCTCGCTCACATTTTCCTGCAACACCTGTTATTGATTGTTTCATTGTTGTTGATGTAATTCACTGCAAAACCAAAAAAAAACCTCTTGGCGCTGACCACAAAATTCTGGCCAATTACTGGTGAAGTAAGGCTCATCCTTGGCTTATAACATGGAAAGAGCATAGGATACTCCAGATGATACAGCCCTGAGAAAATGGTCTGCAATTGTACCACGAACTCATGTCTAAAAAGTCATAGCCTTCAAAGTTTAATCCTTCCATGCAGTAATTTTTGCAGTGAAGAAAGGAATCAAGACATTTACACACAACAATTCTCCCCTTAAAGTATTTTCCCTCAGATTTTAAAGCATTCAGGCATTCCTTTAAATAAGATGCATTCTATACTTAGTTTTATTTCACTCACAATGATGGAAAATGAGCACCTACACAAAGTAGGTAAAAGAAAATTCGAGGAACATACATCTTGAAGTTCTTTTGAAGCACTATACAACAGGAAAAAGGGCACAAATGTTAAAATGCTCAACACTGCCTTCTTCTATTCGACATAAATTAAACCGAGGGCAGTGGTGGTGTAGTGGTAAATTCACTGGACTAACAATCCAGAACCACAGGTTAATGTTCTGGGTACATGGGTTTAATTCCCACTATGGCAGGAAGCAAAATCAAAAGAAGTTTGGAATAAAATTTTATTGCAAACATCCATCTGGTTGGTTAATGTCCTTTAGGGAAGGAAATTTAAGATTCTTCCACATTATATGTGATCCCAGACCCACAGCAATATTGCTGACTTTTAGCTGTCCTCTGGGCAACTAAGGAACAGCTAAAATGGCTAGCCCAGACAGTGACATCCACATACCATGAACGAATAAAATGAATAAATCAAAATAATGCACAGTTGTAACACTGGAATTATGAATCCTAACCTTTCACAGTCCATTTGCACATTCATCTCAGGTCTATGTAGTGAAAACACTTTTTCCTAATATGCCCTTTGAATGCGGACAATGCTAGCAAGTCCATCTCTACTTTCCTTGGAAAAAAAAAGGTGGACTTTCATCTTGAACTGCTGCAATCCCTATTCAAACTACTCTCCAATAATAGTTAGGTAGATACTTACAGGATTTTGACATAATAATTGTAAAATGATTGAAGCATCTGTCCAAAACAGACTTTTACATGACTCAAGAAAGGAATTTAGAGATAGAGATAAAGAGCTACATTTGGCTGCACTTGGTTATCTAGCACTATTATTAAACTTCTTACACTTTTGGGACTTAGGTCTCTTATTATTTTAGAATGAGAGTTGCCCAATGAGCAAGCTGACAATGCTATAGTAAGGAAACAGGGCCTCTGAGACCAGGACTTAATAGGGCAAGCAACAATTTAACTTATGAACCAAAGCAGACTGATTGGCAGCAAATCAGTGACAGCATCTTGACCGAAGTACAAATTTTTCAAGTGGGTGAATTCAGCATTGTAACCATTGTTTTGGTGGATGGGTGGAAATAGAGGAAGAAAGACTGGTTTAAATATTCCTTATGCCTGCTCTGTCATTTAAGATTATAATTGATCTGATTATGGCCTAATGATAAAATGATTGCTCTTTTCAACCCTATCAAGCATTTTGTACTGTTGCAGCTGGTTCTACCCTGGTTGCATGTATTCACCACACTTCTAATTTGAGCATTGTGGATGATGGAGAAATCAGTTAAGCCAAATCTCAGAGGAATCTGTAAAAACCGAAAGAATTGCGGATGCTGTAAATCAGGAACAAAAACAAAGTTGCCGGAAAAGCTCAGCAGGTCTGGCAGTATCTGTGAAGGAAAAAAAAAGAGTTAACGTTTTGGGTCTGGTGACCCTTCCTCAGAACTGGATTTTTTGGAGTGAGGTTTTAAGACAGAGATGGTGAGCTATCTATTTGGATCTAATAAATTTAACAGCTTGTGAGGTTCTTTCTAACATTTGCAACAATAGAGGCAGTCTGAATGGATGGGGTCAAGCTCCCACAGAACCAGAACTTTTAGTTTTAGTTTTCAACAGTTGTTGCTGGATCTTGAACCTAGAGTACACCTCTCCCTGCTATTGTTTTGTTCACTCTCAGAGTTTTCTCCTGATGTTTTTTCTCCTGCCATTATTAGAATTGCATGTAAGACAATCTATTGTACTGAATTTGCCTTTTGCCAAGGGTGTGTCTATGGAATGTTACTATATGGGAACTGTCACTGTTCAGTAGTTAAAAAATCTATTTTTCTGTAAAGTTTTTTAGTAGAGTTAAGTTCTTCCAATTTCTTCTTTCCGAGGCGTTCTGAGGAAGGGTCACCGGATCCGAAACGTTAACTCTGTTTTTTCCTTCACAGATGCTGCCAGACCTGCTGAGCTTTTCCAGAAACTTTGTTTTTGTTCTTCTTTCTTTAGTTGTATTTTATCAATAGTGTATGAGTAAAGTGTGTTTTGATTCAAGCATGGTAGTTTATACTTACCTTTAAAAGAAGAAAAAAAAGTTTGGGTCTAAACTATTTCCTCAATATTTTGAGGGGTATTGGTCTGGTGCATAACAGTAGGAACCTCAAAAGGAAGGCAAGATACATCATCTATTTCCCACACATATCTTTATCTTTGCACATTCATTGAGAATGGGAATATTCATGGATACTTCTCCTATGAGCAGTTTTAATTGTCCACTAATATTTAGGACTGGTTGACAAGATAGCATCGCTCTGTTGGCACGCTGGTTGTTTCTGTCTGGTTGGCTATTTCTGTCTACGATTTATGGGTTTTGCTGGAATGCCTGAAGTTCTGTATGTTTTCACCAGGTTGTTGCCTCATTTTCAGATGCACTTCTGGCATGTCCTTCCACATTTCTCAGTGAACCAGGGTTGGGCCTCTCTTTGGCGATCTCAGATTTGCCAGGCTTTCTGAAGTGAAATTCTGCTGCAACCGAGTGTCATAAAAGCAGTTTTGAATATGCCACATTTAACAAGTTGGTTGAGCCACATAACACCATGAAAGGTGGTTTCAGTGTGAATGGGACATTGGCTTTACAAGGACTGTGCAGTGGTCACTCCTATGAATATTCTCATAGACAGATGCATCTGCAGCAATAAACTGATGACAGCAACTTTAAAGAAGTTATCCCTGGATGCTGGTCCACTCCGCCTGTCACAAAATCCAATGTGGTAGCTATATCCTTCAGGACTTGGTCAACTCAGAGTATATACTGTATGTACAAAGTATATTAAATGGCACTAGTACCCGCAATGCTTCTTCCAGTCAGCGTTCAAAATCAGGAGTACTGGTTTATCATTATGGCAAGGGTGGTTATCAAAGAGAGGGTTTGTTACCTATGTTTGACATGCTGATGAGTCTTCATGGCTTCCAGATTCCTTGTTAAGAATTCCCAAACATATGCCAGTGGATCACCATTACGAGTGGCTCCGTCCTGCCGATGGGGTGGAAAAATGCAGGAGTGATGGCGAGGAATCTGGGACATATCTGGGCTGATAGCTATGTTTCTGTGATTATGACTGTATGAAGGCAATTTTATTGGGATAGCTCAGCCAACATGGCACATCCCCAAACATTAGTGAGGAGAACTTGCCGAACTTGGGACCGGGGATGACTTTGTCTTTTCCGAATCCAGTACAGAGCTCCATCTCTTTGTAATGGTTTGATTTAACAAAATGACATTCTAGGCCTTCATAAATTGTACAAATAGTCACTGATATCTACACAATTTATCTTCCCCAAAACATAGATTATGTAAAGTTTCAATATAGAATAGTTAAAAACATTTTCCAGTGATGCTTTATGAAACTGCAATGTAGCTGAACCCAAGTTTTTTTTTGTTTTCTAACCAACATAACTGGCTTAACTATGATTAAGAAGTTAGAACACATCCCAATAATTTAAATCGAACAGACAATTCACACCTTGAACGCCCAATTTCACTGTGTAATCATTCATAGACGGTCTCTGAATGCAAATAGAACACAAATATTGATGCTCACTGGTAAAATTAAGTATACATGCAGTTTTTCAAATGGACTGTTTTCTTCATCTAATCTTCAAATATTAAGAGTATCCAATATAATAAGTTGGACTATGAAAGAACTGAACTCCTCCAGGTAGTTGCTTATATTTTTCATGCACAAAAGAGCAGGAATAGAATGTTATACTAAATAAAGTGCTGTATATTTTACTTAAGGTACATTACCACCTCCAAAATGACAGTTATCCCTAGGAATGTGTGGTTAGGAATACGTTAACAGTGTACAAAGGCAGAAAAACTTGCAGCATATTGGCTAAGGTCCTTCATATTCTTCACAAATGGTTCATGCTCGCTGATCATTAAATAATGCCAAAATAAGACAACAGTAGATTAATAGCTTCTAAAAGAAAAATGGTTAAAAGCAGACACGACTAAGGAAATGACCACCTAGCTTCGTACTGAATTCAGGTAGTTCAAAGGAACTATATGTTTTATAGTCTACATTTCTTCATAATCTAATTCTACACAAGGTCTAAAATAATCATGGATTTTACAAGTGATCAACAATGTTAGAAGAGAGAGACTAAGTGTCACATAAACAGTGCAGTTGAAAATACTTCACCTTGTCATACTTTGATACTATTTCAGCTCGCTCCTGGGCAAGTTTCACTGCCACATCCTGCTCAGCATCTGGATCTGCAGGCAAACCAGAAAAGGAATGGGTCAACATTACTAGCCTTGCTTGAACATAACTGAAGCTATGAAACAAAATGATTTGGAAATAGTTGCTTCTTCTCTAATAGTATTAGAGAAAGAAACTGGGTATGGCTGGCTAAATCACTTTTGTTGCAGACCAATTAACGCTCTCCAATACAGATTTTAATCTCTTGTAACACTTACTCCTGGCAAATTGGTGGCATCCGAATGAAGGCAACTCCAAAACATATTTCCTCAAGATGAAACATGGTTGTAGTATTCATACAGATTATATTTATAAATGATAGTGTTCCATTTGATTCTGCCATTATGGCATTTAGACATTAGACTGCAGTAATTCAAAATAATGTTAGACATAATCCTGGATTCCCCAAGGCAACTCATCAGGCGTACCAACTATTTTACCTGCAGCTTCTTGGCAACAAGGCTCAGAAAGTGAAGCAAATTAACTTTAAGGATACAACTGTCTGCTCAAGATGTACATTTATTTTTATTAGTGGAATGGGTGTTTTGCAGGCAAAATCAGCATTTGTTGACATTCAGAAGATAGTGCTGGTGGTGAGTTGGGTTCTTGAACCACCCCAGCTTTTATGGTGTACGTACACCCGCATTGTTAAGAAGAAAGTTCCAGGATTTCAACTCAGCATTGGGACACTGCATCAATGTAATTAATGTAAATGATATTGAAACCAACACAAAGTACATTTTGGTTTCATGTCATATCAAAACAGGTCCTCTCAAATTTGCTCAAAGCTAGGCAAAGGTTTATACAAATATTAACATACAAAAGCACTAATAAGCTAAATTCATTCACCACATTCAGTTAAATTTCTAAACTGAGCTTATTCATCAGGGTACTTTATCGATTAAATCGTAGAATGAATACTTCAGCAAGCTAGTTAACCACATTCCATTACAACTAAACAAGCAATTAAAATATTTCTAAAACAGCAAATAAAATTCCAAGGATTGTACAACTTATTTAAAATAATTATAGAAAGAGCAAACTCTCCTCAACATGGGGATATTACCATCCAAAGCTTCTGCTTGATTACATCCGTGGAAATTATTTTGTAGGCTAAAAACTGATTGTAGTCTTCCAGTGTGCAGCTTATTTCAACTCTCAATGCACACGGCATTATCACTTTTTGTCCATTGCCGTAGAATGTATTCAATCTAATATTAACATAGATCAAACTCTACAATATCAGATTGTCACAACATATTCTATAGATCTTTTAAAACAAGCAGCTGCAACACAACAGAATATCAATTAAGATTTGAGAGACAGGACAGCTTAGCACAAATATTCGTTATTTCAACAAAGACAGTGGTTTAATCAGATAAATTATGTCTACCCGGCTTTCATTTCAATACAATAACTCTGTTCAATTCTCATAAATATCCATGATATTGGAAATGCCACTAGATAAGGATCAGGCTTATGTTCTGTACACATGGGTTCAAATCTCATCATAGCAGCGTACAGCCAACGAGAGCACGGCGGACGCTGGGCCATGAACAAGGCACAGACAAAGACAAAGACAAAGACAAAGACAAAGACAAAGAGAGAGGGAGGGGGAGGGGCACGGGGTGGGGGGAGGTGGAGAGAGACAGAGAGAGAGAGATACATAGCCCTAATAAATTGTTCCCATTATTTCACACCAATTGAATAAAAATCTTGCAGTTGTGATCTGTTTTGCACCCTTTTTGAAGACGAGGATTATGATACTTGTTTAGTTAACTACTGTTGAGCTTCTTGTGGCATGACTTCTTAATGACAGTTAATAGCAATGTATCTTTTGTCACAATTAAGGTTAAAATAACTTTTATTTCTGGGAATTTGAACTCTTTCTAGCCAGTCTCTGGTTTCTATCTCCTTTATTCATTCACGGGATGAGGACATCGCTGGCTAAGCAGCATTTATTGTCTACCCTATTTGCCCAGAGGGCAGTTCAGAGTCAACCACATTGCTGTGGGTCTGGTGTCACATAGGCCAGACCAGGTAAGGATGGTAGTTTCCTTCCCTAAAGGACATTAGCGAACCAGATGGGTTTTTCTGACAAACAATGGATTCATGGTCATCATTAGATTCTTAATTCCAGATATTTTATTGATTTCAAATTCCACCATCCGCCGTGGAACCCGGGTCCTCAGGATGTTACCAGAGTCTCTGGATTCATATTTCAGCGATAATATCACTCGGTCATAATCTCAATTATATCAGTGAGGAATTTTATTTGGGTTATCATCATTCTGGGAAGCATGTTATTCATCTTTCTTTCCAGGAACCTAATACCAATTACTTCAACTCAAAAATCAAATGATGTTCCTTTAAGAGACTGCAGTGATTTAATATGTAATTGGATAATTTATCCAGGACTACCTACTTTTGAATTGATCTTGTCTTAAAAGCGAGCCAATTTGTTTTTAAACGTAAAACAGGCCTGGTTACCAATGGAAATTCTTTGAATGCGATTTCAAAGCAGTTCTTTGATACCGTGAACTAATCTTTTGTGTCAGAGAACAGTGAAAGTAAATGGATGAATGGAGTTAAATCAAAATGCCTTAGGATTGCTATTAAATGTCAAATGATCAATATTTGTGTCATGATTATTTGCAGTGAAGATAAACAATTTGGACCAGGAGGGAGAATCAAAGCTAAGGAAAGTTTACAGGTGACACTAACTGAAGGGGGAAGAGAGATAAACAACAGGCAGCTGTCAACACAAATACATTTTTAAAAATCTCTTGCTAGGTTGGAGGAGTTGATTTGATAAATGATTTTATTTATTATAGACAAAGACAAAGTAATGAGACATTACAGAAGGGAAATTCACCATGTGAATACACCACTGGGTGCCAGGAAGCAACACAAAAGGGTGGGCATCTGGAAGTGATGGTGAATTCAGTAATGAAGCCAAAAGGAGTGTTTAACAATGGTACAGAGATATGTAGCACAAATGCAAAGACTAGATCACAGATTCATGGAGGATACCGCTACTATGACAACTAGAGCACTGCGTACAATTCTAATTGCAGTAGTACAGCAAGTGGATGCCAATGTTAAAGGAAATACATTGGCAACTAAATGAATACCACAAAAAACATCAAAAGCATAAAGACAACAATAACTTGAATTTATTTAAAACTGTAAAGAGCAAAATATTCCAGGTGACTTCAACGAAGTACAAATAACAAAAATTAACATTGTGTCAAAGGAGTCATTAGAACAGGTTAAAAAAATGTCAATGCAAAAACTTGAAACAAATTTTTAATGGAAGAATAGGGAGGAAAGGCAGAGAGAAACAGAGAGAATTACAAAGCACAGTGCCTAGATAGGCGAACGCATGTTCATCAATTATGAGGTAAAGAATATATGATATAGACAAAAGCCCTGAGGAACAGTGACCATAATTCTTTAAGTGTTGTTACTTATGGCTAAGGACAAGAATAGTCTTTGTGTGAAAGTATTAAATTGGTGGGGGAGAGGGAGAGTTAGGAAGGTTAAAAGTGGCCACAAAATATTTTTGGCAAACAGGAATAAAGGACAATCCCAAGGCATTTTACACATTAAGTGCAAGAATGTAGTAAGGGAAATGGTTGATCTACTCAAGGATAAAGGAAGAATTTATGTAGGTAGCCAGAGGAAGCGGGTGAGGTCCTTAACAAAAACTTTGCATTGGTATTCACAAAGAAGAAACGCATGGTGAATGGCGAGTCTTGGGAGGGGTATGTTGATATTCTGGGGCATGTTAGTATAAAATGTGAGGTGGTGTTGGGTGTTTTGAAAAGTATCAAGGTAGACATGTACCCAGGAGCTGATAGCATTTGTTCCAGAATGCCAAGGGTGGCAGGTGAGGAAATTGCTGGGACTTTGTACAAAATCTTTGCAATCTCTTTATTCACAGGAGAGGTCCCAGAGGACTAGAGAGTAGCCAATGCTATTTATTTGATTAAGTTTGACAACAGGGATAATCCAGGCAATTATAGGCCAGTGAGCCTTTGTCAGTACTAGGGAAATTACTGGAGAAGATTCTTAGGGATAGGATTTATTCACATTTAGAAAAATATGGACTTATTAGGGACAGGCAGCATGGCTGTGTGTGGAGAAGTTTGTGTCTCACAAATTTGATAAGAGTTTTTGAGGAAAGGACAAAGTTGATTGATGAGGGCAGGGCAGTGGATGTTGTCAACATGGTCTTTGGCAAAGTCCCTCAAGGCAGGCTGATACAGAATGTTAAGCCCCATGTGATCCACAGGGAGCTGGTAAGATAGATACAAAATTGGCTTTGTCATAGGAAGACAGGGAATAACAACAGAAGGATGCTTATCAGATTGAAGATCTGTGACCAGTGGTATTCCGCAGGAATCCGTGCTGGGAGCCCTGTTGTTGTAATTTATATAAATGCATTAGAGGAAAATGTAGGTGGCCTGATTAGTAAGTGTATGTAATTAGTTGTGGGTGACACAAATATTAAGAGAGCTGCAGATAGTGAGGAGGATTGCCAGAGGATAAAGCAAGATATGAACAGACTTGAATGGAGACATGGCAGAGGGTGTTTAATCTGGACAAGTGCAAGGTGATGCATTTTCAGAGATGTAATGCAGGAGGGAGGCAGAACCCTTAGTGGCATCAAAATACAGCGGGATCCAGGCCTACAGTTTCCTGAAAGAGGCAACACAAATGGATAAGGTGATCAAGAAAGCATGCTTGCCTTTATCAGTTTGGGTCAGAGTACAAAAATTGATAAGTCATGTTGTAGCTGAATAGAACTTCAGCTCAGCTACATTTGGAATGTTGTGTGCAATTCTGGTCATCAAACTACAAAAAGGATATGCAAGCTTTGGAGGCGTTACAGAAACATTTCACCAAGATGTTGCCTGGTTTGCAAGGTATTAGTTATGAGAAGAGATTGGACAAACTTGGCTCATTTTCACTTGAACATCAAAAGGATGAGGGACAACCTGATAGAAGT